TGCCGGGCACCGTCAGCCTCACGTATCACTTGCATGTTTCCATGTCTTTGCTCAAGGTTCTAGCATAGCAGAGTACCAAGACTACGGCTGTGTGCCTGTAGAAAAGAGACACCTGCGTGCTGGTGTTCCTGTACGCTTTGCGAGGGGATACACGCCCAAGCTACATCTCACCCCCGCCCCCAGGGTCCAGCTGGGTGGCGGTGCAAAGGAATGGCTGGCCCGCAGGTACTTTGGTTGAAGACGTGATATCATCGCTCAAGCGAATGAGCGGCAGGAAACCATAATGCATCAGGGCGAAGACGATGGAGGCAGCTATTGTACCGAGCAAGCTTGCTGCAAAGCCATTCCTGAATGAGTTGGGATGGTATTGCGCATGATTATGCTTAGTCCTTACAAAAACTGAGTACTCATAGACATGTAAGATGTTCGTCAACAATGACCCAAACCCTAAACCCTACATACTAAACCCCGAACCCCAAACCCTAAAGCCCAAACCCTAAACCTTAATCCCCCAAAAGCTCAGATTCTTCAGGAAGAGCAGAGACATAACCTTCTGGTAGGGCCTCTTCTGCCAAGAATGAGACCAAAATTCATCGATGCTTTTAGTGGCCTTGCTCTTCCGGTGCAACCTCGAGGCTTTATAAGGGGAGTCATTTGGGTTCAGGGTGTAAGGTGTAGGGTTGGGTTCTACAGGGCTTGGGACCATGGATTCGGGCTCCGCTTTCTGGGAGGTCCTCAGAATAAGGACACTCGGAGGGTCCTTCCACCACACTACACTTGGGTGTGTCCTTAAGACAAAACGTCCATTAAATTTAGAGGTAAATGGGCTGAACCTGACTGCTTGCAGCTACCAGGGTCCTTCAACTCAATCTCAATATGCTCCCGGATAAGCGGTGACTCCAACTTTGTCAGTCTATCCCAAATCCGAAGCCCACCTGGCAAGCTTCTGCCGACTGCCGCTCCGGAAGGCGCTACCCAAGAAGTCCAATGCTTGGCATGCCAAGATGGATCGGACAAGATCAGCGCGCACGACCTTCAGGGTTTCATATGGTAGCTCCTAAGAAACGGGGTCGCCCTCAAAGAGCTTGCAGAGGTTATGTAAGGAGTAAGGAGGTTAGAGGGATCATTGTGCAGTTCCCACTGCGAGCTGCCTTTAGTAGAACCCTCATCAGGCGTTAATGAGAAAATTACAGCCGCTTCTGCAAAAGGTTCTAGGGACCATCTGCATGTACCTAGCCCCCTACTTAAGGATTGCTGCTTATTTTTGCGACACTTCAGACTCTTCTTAACAGTGCCGTCCCCACATGATCTTCGATCATGGTACCATGATTCCTAAACCGTAAACCCTGCACCCTAGCTAACATCCCTTCAGCATCAGTAAAGCCTTGTCATGAAATGGCTTAACACCCAAAATCATGAAACACATCCTTTTTGATATAGACAAAACGGCTTAGAGCCTAAACCCTTTAGCTTAATCCACCGGATATGGGAAGGGTTTCTCGTTGTCCCGGCGACCCTGTGCTGGGACACCCAGTTCGAAAGCTGCCGCTCGCGATGAAGACGCCTCTGCTCGGCCGACTCCTGGGATGGTTATTGAGGGGCTTAGGCTTTAGGGTCTCGGGTTTACGGGTTCAGGTTTGCGATTGGCGGGCTGAGTGGGTGGGTGAGTGGGTGGGTGGGTGGGTGGGTGGGTGAGTGGGTGGGTGTGTGTGTGTGTGTGTGTTGCAGCAAATAGAAGCAACCCTAAACCCTGCCCTAGCCCTTTTCCACAGGCTTGAACTGAGCTATCCTAAACCCTAATCAGACAACCCAACTGATAGGTTCTACGTGGCTTAGGCGGGGCTAGGGAGGTGGTCGGGTGACACCATCTTGAAACACTCTGACATCATCTCTGAATTAAATGAAGCTTTAGGGTTTAGGGTTTAAGGGACTGTCCAAACCAGGGTTTGGGAAGAAGCACCTCGAAGCGAACTCCGAACCCAAGCTCTGATGAGGAACTTTGACTCCAGGCACAAAGCTTTGGACCCTAAGTTCCAAGCCCTCGACCCTGGACCCGAGGCTCGAGAACACAAGCCCTAGAACCGAGCCTCTGGACCCTAAGCTCTAGGGTTTAGGCTCTCGTTTCAGAGTTTGGGGAAATCAGTTAGAGTATTACGACGTCCCTCCGAGGAGGTCAAACTCAACGCTCATGTCTCGGCGGATCGGGCTTCGGGGCTCCGCGTTTAGAGGTGTAGGGGTGGGGATGTAGGTTATTAGGGGTTCGGAGGTTCAGGGCAGCGTATGCGGGCTAGATTGGGGTGATCTAGAGGTTGTCCAGGGGTTGTTGGATGCGGATTATACGAAAGTTAGACTCCTAGATCGCTAGTATTGGCTGTTTTTACTAAGAAAAAGTACTAGACTCCATTGTCTGTTCCATCTAATTATCAGTTTTGGAGTCATTAGGACTTGGGCTTCTAAACCCTAAACCCTACACCCTAGACCTTCAAAGCTTAGGATTTTAGGGACTCCTCGTTGGACTGCTCTTCGTGGTCTTCTTTGGCATCGTTGGTCCGCTCCCCAGGGACGGCATCATCCATCATGTCTTCAACGGATTCTCCGATGGTCTCTGCCATGCCGGCTCGTGGCCAGATGCTGTTTAAAGTAGCTTCAGCCTAAGAGAGATTTGAGGAAGATTCCTGGACAGCCCGAACATAATATAATCCCTACATAATTCCGGCATGGTCCCTGAAGAACTCCTACTGGATCCCCCTACAAGGTCCCAGAAAGTATGCCTCTGGGCCGAGATTTTGCGGATGCAAGCATGATGCAAGCGCTCCGTTTGGCTTCGGCTGGCCATTGTCATACTCCTCCCCCTCTGTATCATGAAGCCCAAGGGGGGAGGGCCCTAAACTCTTGAAGCCTTAAACCCTTTTGCATCCAGGACTCTGGCAACCAGCCGGGAAACTCCACAAGACAACAAGTCAACCCTCCAGCAGCACTCGAGGCTTAAACCCTAAACCCTTAAACCCTACCTTTTCTGAGCAGGGACTGCCACGCATTAAGCCGTGAATCCCTTCAGCCAAGCTCCTAAACCAGGAGTCCAAAGGGCCTCTTGGGATCTCAGGGTCCTCCCGGAAGCCCGCTCCCTGGGATACTTTTGAAACAGGCCGGACTCAACAAATGTCGGGACCAGGACAGGGTTCGAGGACTGTGTCCCTGAATCCAAGGGATCGAAGACACTGTTTTGACAGCTTTGGACAATGCCAGCGCACTTCGGCAGGTCGGGCGGCATCCAAAGGTACGCAGATCATGCACGAACGCATGTCTGTGTACACATGGTTCCTGTGTTCTACGGCAATTCTCCCCATGGCTAGCAAATCCAGGCTTGCTTACCCCCGGTATACAAAGGGGATATTGAGGGGAGGGGGAGCGTTTCGCCTCCTTCGGAGGAAAGTGCGCTGAAAATGAACATCCCGTTATTGGCACGAGATTGCTCAACACTGGGGTCTCACCTTCTATACCGCGGGAACATAGTAAAAAGACTCAAGATTCACCCTAAACCCTAAGGGTTCAGGACTCAACCCAAGAACTCCACCTTGCGGTGACAGTTTGGCTGCCTTGTGGAAGTTGAAGAAGAGGCTTTACCTGTCCGAACGCTTCATGGCGCGAAAACCGGGATGGTAATTCCCTAAATCCAGAGTAG